ATGAAGACTTGTTAATAGGGACAAACAGTTTATCAATTATCAAAAGAATACAATAAACAAGGAACTCAAAGGATTTTTTAATATTAACTTTATTACTTAATAAATCCTAACTAATTAACTTAATTAAACTATTTGAACTGAACTAGAAACTAGAGAACTGAATACTGAGTTGAGAGAATTCTCAGCCTTTTTATACATTATAGATTTGGCTGCTAAGTTAGCTTGTAATCTGACTGTGAACTTCACTAGTATCTACATTAATATTCCAACTGGTACCTTAACTGTCAATTTATTTTGTACTTTAACTGAGATATTAACTTGTACTCTGGCTTGTAATCTAATTTATATTCTAGTGTTACAAATTAACAGGAATTTAGAAATCTACTAATTTAAGTAATAATATCTAATTTGTAATATAGACTATTAAATTGATCTACTGCAATACTATAATAATAAGAAATAAATAATAAAAAATAATAAAATAATAAATATATGGTAGAATATATAATAATAAAATATATAAATAATTAATAAAATAAAAATAAAATCAGAGGTAACAATATACATTATATCAGAATAATTTTATCAATATATTATATAATAATTTACTTATCACTTGTAAAAGAACAAAATCAGTAAATCTTTTTTTATCACAACATTCTTCCATAATATCTACAGCAATAAATTCATCTAAAGTAAGTGCATGAAGAATTATATATCACTTTCCATGAACAAAAACTATATTTTTTCTTGTACATGTATAAGCAGAAGAATATTCATAAAGATGTGAAAGTGTATTTTCATCTTTAGAACTTTTATTAAAAAAAATTAGTTGTCTGGATGTACAATTGTTTTCAATAGTTACTATAAAATTACTATGAACTATTTTATTTCTCTTATTAGCAGTCTTTTGTAACTTTAAAAAAATATTATTATATTTGGAATGTAAAATAAAAATATAATAATAATAATTATTATCAAACCTTTTTATAAGTTATATCATAATAATTTGACAAACATCAAAGTGTAGACACAGATACAGACTTCTAGTTAGTTTCTTCATTTCAACCAAAAGTTCATCCAAATACCAGTCAACTTTTTCTTATACAAGTTGTTGGAACACTTGAAGTTCCTTTCTTGAAAATTTCTTTTTTATATAAGAATTCATTTAAAAAAAAGTTTATGTCATTTGGATTATTCATTGTGTTACAATTAGCATTTGAAATTAAGTAAAAGATTCTCAATGTGTTTGAAAATAAATTATTGTCAATCATTTTACTGTTTGAATAAAATTTTCAATTGTTGTTACATATAAAATATTATTTTATACCAATAAAATCTCAAATTGGTATTAAATAAACTTGAAAACAATATTATTTTACATCTACTGTAAAAGTTTGAAATCTATATCTTAAGAATTAAAGAAATAATTAGAGTTTATTTATTAAAGTTTAATTGTAATTATTTCTTCTCTTCACATGATATAGGCTAGAAATATTTATAGTAGATGTGCAATTATATTCTCTTTAAGATTACTTAGTATTACTTTTAAGATTTTACTGGGATAAAATAATCTTTTATATGTTATGACAATTGATAATTTTCTTCAAACAGTAAATAATCAACAATAATTTCAATTGTTTTTTAGTCATGCCTAAGTAAAGTTCTGAGTTTAACTAGAAAACATGAAATATGGTATTAATTAAAGTCATATATTTAGTATAGAGGAGCTGCAACCGCTTATAAATAGTAAGCACTTCTGGTAGATAATTACTGAAATCAAAAGAGATTATGATTAGTAATTTAATTTAATATTTTTGGTTACTTTTATTTAAGACAAAACTTTAAAACGAGCAGGTATCTGGTTTGAATGAATAAAATATCATATGATAGCCCTTGATCTGGGGATTCTTTTAAAAAAAAAGTTAGTGCAATTTAAATAATTCGAAGTGCCAGAATTCACCGTTGAAGTTTTTTAAAAAATACTGAGAAAAAAAGCTTTTGGCAGGCCAGTGTATATGCTTTGTATCGAATCTTAATTTTAGTTTAATATATATCAGATTCATCTTTAGTCTTATTGGTGAAAAATAATAATCAAAATATACATATGACTACCAAAAATATTCCGTATTTAAGATAGATAAATAAAAATTTATAATATCTATTATACATGCTTATTTTTAAGCTGTGTAAAGAAAACCCATTTAAAAAAAAAATATTCTACATCAGACTGCATCTTTACCATCTATGCCTTTATCATCTGATTCTTTTCCTTTCTTTGAGAAATAAGTTACAATCCCATATTCCCCAAAGAGAAAAGCAAAAAGGCCACATATGCTAATGTAACCCCCGATGTTGCCGAAAGCGTCAGCTAGTTCGAGAGCCGGCTCTTCAACCTGTGTTATGACTTGTTTTGGTACATGAATTCCAATTCTAGTTTCATTAAATCCTGATAAATCGTAAGTGAGGGCAGAACATTGGAAGCCACGATGGATGTGACTTTTGTCCAATTCAATGTAGCGAGTCTCCGTATAAAAGATTAAACCATATGATAATATTGTTTGCGATCCTACATCGCCATATCCTTTACTTTCAGGAATAGAAAGGCTCCAGTCCGTATTTTTGTCATCACCAATGAAAACATCAACATAGGTAGTTTGATTAAAGATAAAAGCGTAGAACATTCCGACATCTTTCTTCGGCCTCGGCAATGATGTGTAATTAAATAGGTAGCAAGTTGTTAAGTAATCTGGTTTATAAATTGGATCATAGGAAGTTAAATTAGGTAATGAATCTATAGTCGTTTCTTCTTTAAAAACATCATTAATTTTTTCAGTATAAACCGCGTATTCAATAGAACTCTCGAGCCGTGGACATAATTGAATAGTTGGCGACATATAGTTATCTACCAATGTCACAGATATCCGCGGGCGATCCCTCATTTTATTGATATTGTAAAAGACAATGAGTACCAAGCCGGTAGCTAGGACAAGAAAAACGATAATCCTGGCTGGCCTTGTTTTATCTTCTTCTTCTTTGTTAAGAGAAAAATAATCAATGATATATTTAAAAAGATTTGTATTTTTATCTTCCACTTTAGAATTAAGGTTGATTTGTATGATTAAGTAGAGAATGACGGCGACTATAAAACACGCCGCAATCGCTAAAGTGATAATGCCGGGTATTGAATTGATAGTCTTAACCCATCCATGAGATCTAAATTCGCCTTCTTTAGGAATGTCTTTGTCACCCAAGGGATACTTGTCGCCGTCTTCCATAATGATGTTGAATTATGACCAATTAAGTGTAATAAAACTTACAAAAGAATATTGTACTAGAAAAAATATGGAATGGCGAATATTTATTCTGTAGCACTTAATATATAGGAAATTCGACAAATAATTATTAGAATATTTGTAGATAAGAATCTAAATTTGGGAATTCAAATAGTTTATTGAAGCGTGTTAAATAGTTAATTGATTTCCTATCTAATAATATTATCTGTTATGAGTATACCCAATTTAGTCAATGCCATTTTTTTTCAAAGAGATGGCCAAAACATCCGAAAACTCCGTGCATCACATACATTAAATATATATATTTGTAATAAAATCTTGAATATTTGTAAAAATGTTGTTTATCCTTCCGTAGTATCAGCTAATATAAAAAAAATATATACTGTATAATTAAAAATCAGACGGATCACAAGGTGTTTTATGCATTCTGTGCGTATCAATGATTTATCAATATTTAGTAAATATTAATTAAATCCCTAATTAGGGTAATTGATTGTTTTTTAGTAGTACATATTTCTTGGCATCTTGGGGATGAATGGATTCACAAAGATATTTAAGGAAATGATAAAATCTTTATTCTTTTTTAAAAAAAATATCACTTACTGATTCCTTTAATACCTGAATTAATAAAGGATTCCACAATTATTATTTTGTTACTTTTTAATACTTGTAATTTCGTAATAAGATCTATATTTATATTTGATTTCTTTCTTATTTTTTTTAATAAAGTTAATTTATACAAATATCACAATTATTAAACATTGTAATAAATTTCATTTTTCAACCCTAAAATCAATTATAGTTCGGATCTTAAAAAAAAAAAAGTTTGAACAAAGTGTTGATAAAATTTCTGTCGTTTGTCGAAATAATAAAAATTTATATATTAATCTTTTTAAAGATTATTATTTTTTAAATAATACATCAGGAATTTTTTAGGCGTAAATATTTCGGAAATTTTCGTCTAAAAAATCTGTTTTTTGAATTCGCTCGCGATTTACGTGACAGAGAGCGATTTTCACTAAGGTGTTTCTAAGATGGATTGAAAATTCTGGTTTCTGGCTACATACTGATTAAAAAGATTATTATAAAATGTGAAGTAGGAGCACTTACAATAAGTGATGAATATTATGAAGTTATGGAAGAATATGAAAATTGTGAAGTGAATTAAATTTGATATGGATGTAGAATAATATTTCAATAATAAAATATTTCATATTAGCTCAATTTTTAAATTTATGATTTTATTGTTAAATTATATTAAATGAATTAAATAAAATATTATTCAAAATCTTATTTTAAAATATTTAATAATATGGAGTATTTGAGTGATATCAACACTACATAAATAGTTAAATAATTTGTTTATATTTAAAGAAATCATCTGAAACAACAGAAACAGAAAGATCTAAATCCTTTAAAGCATATAAATCATTGGAGAATACAATTAATAGTCAATCATGAAATAACATTACAATTTTTTTAATTTCAAAAAAAAGTTATTTTATAATATGAATGCATGGGTTAAATTATTGATCAATTGCATACTAGTAGAAAAATACAAAGTCACATAACCCTGTTGCTAAAGTGTAGTGTTTTGTTGCTCTTGTAATTAAATTTTATCAATCCCCATGATTTAAATAGAATCATTAAATAAAATATAATTATCTAATGATAGCTCTTTCTTTTTTTTTCATTTGCAATATTAATGACATGTGCTTACCCATTCTTAATAATTCATATCTAAAAAATTAATGTTAACTTTAATTATTTCATAATCAACAATTGAGAAATTATCTGTTCTAATATAGTTTTCTATTATCTAAGTAAAATTAGAACCAGACTATAAATAGAAAGATCATATCCTAAATATAGATCACAATTACTGTACTACTTTTGTCAATATTTAAATTGACAATCAAATATGATATATTACCATTTTACAATGAGAAAATGAATCCTCATAACAAGTATTAGCATTCAAAACTAAAGGATTGTATCCTTCGAGTATTTTGTCTGTTCCTTTAACTTTTATGATTACAACAGTACAGTACTAATATGACATGTATTTCAAAAGGTCTGAGGTGCAAATACACTTTAAATTAACTGAAATTCTTATGAAGAGCCTATTAAAGAATAATTCTCAATTTTTATAATCAATCAAAGAGGAAATTTCAGCTATATGTCAATAAGTAATAAGGATGGAAAGTTGTTTCATTTGTTCTGCCATATGGGGGGAGGTGTAGTATTATCTCGATCTGGATAAGAAATTCTTGAACTATAATTGTTCTTGGTGGTAAAATTATTGATCTTAATGATTTACCATAAATCGCTAATTCAAGTTGTTTATCAAGAATTTCTCATAAGGTTATATTATTTTCCCAAAACTAGTACTAAAAATATGGAAAATCTTTCTTTGAGTTCTCAGATAAAATGGAATCCTGAACAATTCCCCGCTAAATAATATTTGATCTTCTAGTTGTAATAATAACATTAAAAAATTTTTGAAATTATTTCCAATAAAAAGTGTACAATAAAATGTGACTTTTGGTTAATTCTTCATTAGTTGTCACCACTAATTCCAAATTAATCCTTGTTCAACATTCTCTAAGTTAACAAATCCTCAATAAATATATCTTTATTGAAATAAATGTCAATTATCAAAGTTAATTTATGTACAGCATTTTTATTATTAAATAGTAATGCAATAACTTACTTAAGAATCATATCAAAATTCTCATCAGGAATATATTGTTTATTAATTGCCTTGATATTCTTTTCAATCAGATTTAATGGAATTTATAAATATCCATAGCACATTCCTATTGTTGAATTAGAATAAGGTTCACAGAATGATTTAAATATCATATTCAAGTAATAATGAATCAACATCCAAAAAATGGAGAAAAAAAATTAAAGAATTTAAGCATAATGGTAGGTACTGTGTCTAATTTTGGATGAGTAATTTATAACTCATTATTTGGTTATTAATTAAAAATTTAAATTTATCACTTGTATAATAAAATAATTCTATTTTTGATCTACTGTCTTATTGGATTAAACAATTTTAATACTAAGTGGAAATCTCAAACTTCATTAAATAATATAAAATGGATCTATTTATTAATCATAAGTTGATTATAATCATTTTCTAATGGAATATTGCTTTCAGATCATTTTGTTATTGAATGATGTTTAGTCACAATTAATTTAATCTTTTGTTTTTAATCATAATTTCAATCATTAATTATTGCTCTACATAAAGATTACATCAGAATTATTATTAATTGGATCGGTATCATGGTTACTAAAAAAAGATATTACTGTACCTCCAGGATGAAAAATTAAGAATTTCGTGTGATTTAGATCCTATTATCTCCAAATCTGACACTTCGATCGATTTGAGATTAATACATTGAAAACAATAAAGAATGTAATGATTCTAAAATAAAAACAATCTTTCTAACCTTTTTCTGTTCTGTAGTAGGCATGAATAGTATCAATAATTTCATGAAATCATTGATCACCCAAATTCTCATAGCAATCACCATTTCGATTGTTTTTTTTCTATAATCATTAATTAATGAATTGTTGAGATGCAGATTCATATTGAAGTTTATTGTTTATACAATTTAGAATAATAAAAAGTCTTGATAAAATTCAAATAGTTTCTTTAGTGTGACTGTGACCTATATGGAAAAGTAAAATATATTAGAAATTAATGTATAAAATATTTTTATCAAGAAAAAATATATTAAATAGGTGTATCAATAATAAATATATTAATATCTTACTTTCACGATACTTTTGAATCACGAATATTTTAACTAATGTTATAATAAATAGAATTTAAATAAATAATAATCTTAAATAATGTTTTTCTTTAAACAGGATTAAACTGAATGATCTCCGCGAATATTGATGTCACAAGAATGAAATACATGTCATTTTGTAGCTAAGAGCTTAGAAACAGCTTAGTAGAAAATCGCTTTACGTCTTGCAACTCGCGAGCGAAGTCAGAAAAAACGGAAAAAGCCCGCACAAAAAAACTTGCGCAAATTTGCGCGGGTGATGACAATCTGCGCAAATTTTCGCCTAATTAAATTTCCTAATGAAGTGATAAAATTATAGTTTTAATTACCAATCAAGAAGAGACCAACATTAGGCTGTGTTTGTAAAAAAAACTTTGAATAATTCTTGATTGTCATAATAACCATTTTCTTATTTAAATGACCTTTGTTCATAGAGGAAAGAATTTCCCATCTATTTTTACTCTCATTTTACTCTTATTTTTACTCTATTTCTATCTCTTTTCTATTTCTTCTATTTCTATTTCTATTCTGAATATAATTAATAGTTATAGATGTTTTTTAAATTTAAAATTACTCGATTTTGAGAAAAATTGATTTTAAATTACGTAAGGTTTAAAAAAATTGTGACTCCTAATGCAAAATATGTAAATTTAAATAACTTTATTTGCGTTTTGTTATCAAATAAATATTTGTTTATTAATATTTAAAAATGCAACAGTTTTTTACAAAAAAGGGATCAAAAATAGGATTTTTGCAGTGGGGATCCAATATAACATATGTGCTTAATAAAATATTATTTTGAATAATAAATAAAATAATAAATGTATATATTAAAATATGAATGATGCATGAATATTTTTATTTGGTAAGAATGGAAATCGCTTATGTAATACCGCTTTTTGTATTTCGTAATTGTTATTGTTGCTGTACTAATGCATGCAAAACGTAATTTATTTAATCTGATAATGTAATTTCTTTTAGATTTTATTTAAAAGAAATGGATGGAGAAATGAGAGAAAAGAGAAAAATGGAAGAAATGAATGAATCGGAAGAGTAGATATATTGTTATATTAAATTTTATTTAAATTCATAATTTATTACTAATAAAAATTTACATAAATTATATTCCTAACTAGAATGGCGAGTAACAGATTAATAACTACCACTACTATT